TAAACACACTACATGCATATATGAAACTGGAATTGTCAAAAAATAAGGAAAAACTTTGTTTAAAATCACAGCTTAGAGAATGAAAGAGAAGCCCCAGACTGATGACAATTGACTTGTGTTTAGAACATAATGAACTCTAACAATGGTATTGTGATTGTGCCAAATTTTTTAGTGGGCGAAGGATTTAAAGGAACACTCCCCCAAAGGAAAGATGGTGAGCACAAATGAACACTCCAGAAGTCTCTCAAGTTGTTAGACACCGGCGGGAAATGCGGCTTAAATCCACAGGGACATACTGCTGCACACTTCTTGAAGTGGCAAACCACACAGACTGGCCACCTGCTGCGGAGGGCCTGGCTCTTCTCCACTGCCAGTCAGAGTGGGGAAGGGCACAAGGTGGCAGGTGTGATTTGTCTCAAAGGAGATGTAGAACATAATAAGTATTCCATGTGGCCTGGCCTTTCTACTTGCAGGTGCTTACCTCAGAGAGCTGAATTTTTGCATATTGTAAAAAATAAAATGGTCCATTTTCAAAATAGAAGAGCTTTAAGTCAACTTAGGACCGGTTACAGGGAACACTGGGTCACTGTGGCACCTGCTAGTCTATGTACCTCTGCCCAAACTAGAAGTTTAGATTTAAAAACAATTAATATTATTTTTAAACAGAATCTTCATATAGAACATGCTGGCCTTGAACTCAGAGATCCCCATTCCTCTGCCTCCTAAGTACTGGGATTAAAGGCATGCACCACCATGCCCAGCTTTAGAATAGAGTATCGTTAACAGCCAAGCTTGTCTAATGACTTGAAGCTGTGACAGAGTTTATGGACCTAAATAGCATTAAAACGGACAGGGTGTAAAACAGAGATAAGCCCACAAATGATCGTTGTTGAGAAGTAGACAGGTGTAAGTGGCAGTTGGCATGTAAGACTGTACCCAGAATACTCAGCCAATGAGGAAACAAGGGATTTATAAATGCTTCTCATGTCAGCCTTTTGTCTGCATGGCAAGATCATAAAATAAGCTGCCTTGCTTTCGCTGCTCCAAGTCTCCAGTGTTCATCATTACAAAACAGGGGATCCTTATTCCCCAGAAAATAAATGTTCCCATGAGCTATGATGCCAAGAACTGGAAACAACCCAACTGTGCCAATGGTTGGCAGACAAAGCCATAAGCACATGGCGGATCAGCCTTACATTCCTATACTGTGCAGCAATGGGGAAGAATGAGCTACTGACCTATGTGACAGCCAACACTGTCAATCTCAAATTATATACAAGTGAAGGAGGCGCTACTCAAAAGGGTCCCATGCCCCAAACCCTTGTATGTCTGGTGAGAGAAATGCAAACTGATCTGTGCTGATGGGAGCTGATCAGAAATTGTCTGGGAGGGGCTGGGGAATGACAGGGCATGAGGACACATCTGGAAATGAAGGGGAAAATTCACCACCTTGGTCATGCTGAGTTTTCTCTAGTGCACATACATGTCAACACTTACCAAATGGTACAATAAAACCTTCACCCTTCAGCATCCCACACATACCTTCAGGGTTGAGTCCAGAACTTTCTTTTTCTGTTTCGTCACTTGTTGTTCCGTGTACATGTCTGGCTCTAATCTCTCCCTATTAAAGATGCCAGCCAGACATTTAGTGCCCTCATTTTAGCTTAGTTCTTCCAAGCCTGTCTCCAAACACATCACCCTGGATGCACCTGATATTGTCCAGATAGTTCACATTCTGAGGGACTTAAGGGTTTGGGACTCCAGTGTATGGACTGAAAAAGCACAAATCAGGTCATTCCAGATGATAGAGGAACCAAGTGACAACCTCGGAACCCCTGGGGAAATCAACTTAGACAAGAAGAGGGCTTGTTTTGGCTCTTAGTTCTAGATGTTTCATTTATGACAGGAGGTCCAGGCTTTGGGACCTGAAGCAAGGCAGATGAAGAGCAAATTGAGAAGTAAATGTCTCGGAGCAGCTGAGAGGAAGTGTCCTCCATTGACTTTCAAATTCCCATTGGGGATGGGGAGTTGGCTCAGTGGGCAGCATGCTATGCTGTTCAAGAATGAGGACCTGAATTCGATCCCCAGCACACATGTTAAAAAACATAAAGAAAAAGCTTGATGATGTTTGCACCTGTGATTCCAGCACTGGGAAGGCAGTTAGGAGGACCCTGCGGATCATTGGTCAGCCAGTCTAGCAGAACTGATGGATTCCGGCTGGGCGGTGGTGGCACACGCCTTTAATCCCAGCACTCGGGAGGCAGAGGCAGGCCGATCTCTGTGAGTTCCATGCCGGGCTGGACTGACAGCCTCCTAAAAAATACAGAGAAACCCTGTCTCGTAAAAACCAAAAAAAAAAAAAAAAAAAAAAAAGAACTGATGGATTCCAGGCTCAATGAGAGACCTTCTCTCAAAGAGCAAGGTGCAAAGCAGCTGATAACGACACCCCACGTTGACCTCTGATGCATGTGTGTACATTCATGCACACCCCAAATTGACCTCTGATGCATGTGTGTGCGCATGAACACACACACCTTTACTAGGCCCTGCCTCCTAAGGACTCCATCATCTCCCAGCTGTGCCTTGGGTGTAGCAGTTACATTTGTTGTGGTGGTAGAACCCCAGACTGAAGTTACTCAAGGCAAGCCATGATTTTTTTAATTGTCAGTTTCGAGGCAGGGGGAGCATGGTGGCTGAGGCAGCATGGGCTGCGTCAGTGGGCACTTCTTCAAGACGGCTTGACCACATCATGGTAGACAAGACACGGAGAGCTTGGGCTAGAATGAGAAATAGACATCTCCTTCAAGGCCACCTCTAGTGACCCTTCCCCAAGTGAGGCCACAGCCCCGATGATTCCACAATGTCCTAAGCAGCACACACCATTCACGGAGCTGAGAGCCAAATGTCAAACCCTCAGCCTGTGGAGGGACAGTTCACATTCCAGCCATAACAGCCAGGACCACATCTTAAACATAAATACCTTTGGGGAATATTCTAGAGCCAGACTATAACAGGCCCTTAGCTGGCCATCGCCAGAGTTGGTCCTTGACCTCGCAGGCGTCATCATTCCATGACATTCTCTAGATTGTGTGTATTTGAACATTCCCCCCACTAAGCATGACATCGATGGAATCACATCCTGTCTGTTTACAGACGGGCTCTGCTTCACAAGGCCTCTCTGCATGTGGCCCCGGCAGAGGGGCCACTGCATTCCCCACAGAAGCCAGCCCAGCCTGCAACTCTGGCTGAACCATCAAAGGGTTTTGTGAGGCTCTGTCACGTGCTTTCCGTGGCCAGAGAGACGCCTCTCATTCCTACACAGGAAATTCTTCTCTCTCTTTGTGTGCTACATAGTCCAAACCGTCACACCCAGAGTGTAGACATGCTGACTCCCGGTTCTGAGAGCTCAAGGGTGCGGGCACCCAGAAGGACATCCTAATGAATTCCATGGAGGAGCTGCTGATCAGGGCCTGTGACAAAACATCCCTCGAGGCTAATGCCATTTCTTTCCAGAGGTGTTTGGAAAGGGCTAAAAATAATTGCAGAGTATATTTTGAAAACTTCTCGAAAGTGCAGGAATGGGCCTATAATTATCTTGTTCTTACAAGCTGTTGCTCTTTTTTGTGCAATTATGTGGTCAGTAGTCAGCAGGAGAAAATGATGTGTTTGCGCTCTGTGCTGGGAGCCATTATTAAAAGCAGCCCCTACCCCCACCAGGAACAGTCAATGCGAATCAAGTAAAACAGTAACTGGATTCTGTTTCTTGTCAGAGGTGGGAGTCGGGCTGTTGAACACCCAGAGTGCTGACACTGAAGGTTCCTGGGAACATCTATGGGCTGGATTCGCTGCCAGTCTGTCTGGGGGAGGAAAAGTGAAGCTTGCAGACCTCCAGTTCACACCCTGTACAGGTGGGACGTTCTTCAGACTGTTTTTGTTTGCGTTGAACTTTACCAAGGAAGTAGGGGACGTCTCCGTGGAAGTAGGTGGCTGTGGTGCTCAGGAAGAATGGCAGGCTGGGGAGGTTCTCGATTCCTGTGCCTTGGAGCACGCCCCCACAAGCTCTGGCCTCCTTGATGATCTCCATGTGGCCTCTGAACCCAAACTCCAGAAAGTTCTCAGGTGTACGTGTGGCCAAGGAGTCTCTGAAACAGACCCTGCTGGCCATCTTCAGCACCTGGCTGCCCCTTGGCATGCGGGTCATTCCAAAGCTGGGCACTGTGAAAGAGGAAATCCCATCAGCCTTCAGGGCCAGCACAGGCAGCTCACCAGGTGGGCCTGCTACAGGTCGTGTGAAGTAGGGTCAAAGTATTCTCCTGTTCCTTGTGTTGTTGTAAGAAAATACCTGACACTGGTTATTTTCTGTGGATGTGTGTGTTGTATGTACATATGTATGTATGATGTGCATATGTATAGTATGTGCGCATATATGTGTTTGTATGTATGTGTGAGAATGTGGGAATATGTGTTAAAGCTCATGTGGAGGTCAGAGGTCAACTTTTGGGTGTAGGGGCTCACTTTCCACCTTGAGACTCTATTGTTCATGGTCAGTTGGCCTACAAGTTTTGGGGATCCTCCAATCTCCGCCTCCCATTTTGCTTTAAGCATGTTGGGATTAATAAATGTGGGTTCCTGCATCTGGCTTTATCAGGGATCCAGGATCCTGACTTCACAATTACATGGCAAGAACTTTATCCACTGAGCCATTTCCAACACTGGATAATTTGCAAAGAGCAGAAACGTCCCTTAAAGTTCTGGAGGCTGTGAGTCTCCTCTGGCATCAAGGTACTGGCATTGATGTCTGCAGAGGGCATCCCACTGCCTCAGAAATGGCACCAAAGGTTATGGATGTAACTCCATGTTTAGAATGCTTGCCTAGCAGGCACCAAGTCCTGGTTCCCCTGCACTGTGTATAAATCAGGGATGATGGTGCATGCCTATCCCAACACTCAGGAGACAGAGGCAAGAGGATCAGAAATTCAAGGTCATTCTCAGCTGGGTAATGAGTTCAAGGCCAATTTAGGCTACATAAGACTCTTGTCTTCAAAGTAAAACAAGATGGTGCCTGGTTGCTGTGTTCTTACTTGGCAGAAGGCAGGCCTGTTGGGCATTTTTGTAGAGCGGTGACCAAGATACATAACAGCAACAGCTTGAGAGAGGGAAGGCTGCATTCGGCTCATAGTTTCGGGGGTTTCGGTCCATTGTGATGGGGAGGGCACAGCAGCACTGTTCCATCCACGACAGGGAGTGTGGCGGGTGGCTGCTCACATCCTGTCAGGCCAGGAAGCAGGCTGGAACTAAGAACAGAGCTATGACCTCCCAAACCGCATCCTTTGTGATCTGCTTCTGCCAGGTAGGCCTCACTTCCAAGCAGGGTGCAAGTGCTTGAACATCAGCCTGTGGGGATATTTATATTGAAACATAGTAGAGTGAATACTGGGGCTCTGTTAGATTCCCCTGCCCCTTTGGGGATCGTGGGCCCATCCATGGGGTCATTTGCTCATTTCTCATGTCCTAACATCACCACGGCTAGGGTTAAGTTTCAACAAATCAGTTTTGGGAAAGGCGTGTTGAAACCATTGCAGGAGACAAGGTTTTGAGATAAGTTTTCCTTCCTTCTCTCTTCCTTCTCTCTTCTTTCACTCCTCCTCTTTTCCTTCTCTCTTCCTTCTCTCCTTCTCTCCTTCTCTCCTCCTTTCCTTCCTTCCTTCCTTCCTTCCTTCCTTCCTTCCTTTCTTTCTTTCTTTCTGTTTTGAGATAGGGTTTCTCTGTGTAACATTCTCTGACTGTCCTGGAACTTACTTTGTAGACCAGGCTGGCCTCAAACTCAGAGACACAGAAGTCCATCTGCCTCTGTTTTCCTGAGTGCTGGCATTAAAGGCGTGTACTACCACTGCCCTGCTAGTTTTCCTACTTTCTAAATGTCATCCAGTCCATGAGGCCCAGCAGAACAAAGGTCTACATGCTCAGTGGTCCTGGACCTCTTGCTGGGGGCGTGCCCTTGTTAGACTGTTGCAATTATCTAAGACTGTTACTGTTACTCTCTGAAAGCAGCATCTGTTAAGAAATGCTATGCCAGGCCAGGCGGTGGTGGCACACGCCTTTAATCCCAGCACTCGGGAGGCAGAGGCAGGTGGATCTCTGTGAGTTCGAGGCCAGGCTGGACCTACAGCCTCCAAAACAATACGGAGAAACCCTGTCTCGTAAAATCAAAAAAAAAAAAAAAGAAAAAAAAAAAAAAAAAGAAATGCTATGCCAGGCTGGAGAGATGGCTCAGCAGTTAAGAGCACATGGCCGTTCTTCCAGAGGACCTGAGTTCACTTCCCAGCAACCATATGCTAACTCACAACCATCTGTAATGAGACCTGGTGCCCTCTTCTGGCGTGCAGGCATACATGTAGCCAGAACATTGTATATATAATTAAAGAAATAAATTTTTAAAATCTTTAAAAAGAAATGCTATCCCTCCCTGCATCCCAGACTTAGGTGACCTCAAGGACTCTCATTGTTCATGACTTGTTTACACCTGGAGGACTCTCATCGTCCAAGTACCCGTGACCCTTATTTACTGTTCGCCTTTCCAAACACTGCCTTGGGAATGGATCACAAAACTGTTTGTCTCCCAGAAAGGGTGGAGAAAAGCGCTTTCTGTGACCTGCACTGACTGGCAGGCCTCCTCTAGCTTCAAATCATCCCACTTGAAGGCATCAAAAGCATCTGTCGGCTCGCTGACAGGACTCTAGCAGGGACAGGTCAGCTGTGTCCACCCCCATCTCCCTACTCCCCCGCCCCATCTTCCTACCCCCTCATGCTCACCCCCACTCACCCTTACTACCCCCATCCCCTCTCATCCCCACCCCTCCCCTCACTGCAGGACTAAGGGAGACTCTGGATCCCTGGGGACTGCTGCGTAGATCACAGAGCAGCTTATTTCGTGCAACGCCTCTGCATCTACAAGTGGTTGCTTCTAACATATTAAAACGTGGTTGAAGAGGTCAAATTTTTGTTTAAAAAGAAAAACTGGTCTGTACTATAATCTGTCGTATTACACTACACTGAGAATGCTTTCTTTTAAATGTCTGCAGAGCTTTTCATTATGGATTTTCAGAGTAATCCATAAACATGAATTAAGCAACTGCCAACTGCTGTGTGGTCCAGGAGGATAAACACAATCTATAGAGAGGAGAGCAGAGTGGCTGGTCTATGGCTTCTGGTCATATGTGCAGCACGTGGAACAGCCTGGTGTGGCTGGGGCGGGTCACTCTGAGGTGACTCTGCAGGTGTCAACTTGAGATGGCAGCTTCTCAACTCCCACACACTGCTTGTAAAACGTTGCTTTCAAAGGGGGAAGTCACTGAGTTGATAGCCCCTGTGGGAGAGACGCCAATGAAGTCTTGCTGATTCTAGGAGCGAGTTCACTGCATACTTTGCTGTGGGCAGAGCCCTGTCCCTGCATCAGAAGTGAGAGCTCATGAGTTCAGCAAAGCAGGGTGAGTGGTTGGGGAGGCATGACATGGCATTCACTGGCTGCCAAACACCAGTGCCCACGTAAGTCTGATTTCCCTTGCCTCTATCTCCCCAGAAGACTAACAAAGCAACAAGGGAATACCTCATTCAACTGTTTCTGTGAAAAACATCAACTCTGTTCATTGCAACAATACTTCAAGCTGGTTAGATCCATAGCTGAGGTGTAGCTCAATGGCAAAATGCTCACCTAACATGTGCAAGGTTCAGCTTCAATCCTTAGCACTCCCAAGAGGAAAACCATGGTGCACATAGCACACACCTCACTCAGCATCTGATTCAGAGAGAAAGATAAGAGGTAAACACAGTCGTAGTCTTACCCCAAGGGTGTACAGTTCAATGGCCATGGATATCAGGAGTCACACACAATAACAAACCCTATACACACTGGGTTTTCCCTAAACATACATGAGAAACTTTAATTCATAAATTAGACTCAATGAGAAGTTAATAACTATAACAAAACAGAATGATTTAAATATACGCATGGTAAGGTCCAACGGCGTAGCTCAGTTGATAGAGCGTTTGCCTAGCATGCACAAGGTCCTGGGTTCAATCTAGCACTGAATAACCAGCATGGCTGCACATGCCTGGCATCCCAGCACTTGGGAGGTAGAGGCAGGGGATGAAGGAGCTGGGCCTGTGAGCTGCTTCAGTGGGTCAACTGCTGGTCCTGCAAGCCTGACAACCTGAGTTTGGTCCCTGAGAGGAAGAGAATGAGATTCTTGCAGAGAGAGGGTCAATTCTACAAGTTGTCCCCCACATGGCAACCTCTACACACATGCCATGTACATACAAATAGTAAATAAAAATAAAAAACATTCAAGGTCATATTGGGCTACATAACAGGTTTGAGGCTGGGCCAGGCTGCAGGGAGACCTTGGCTCAAAGGAAGACATATGTAATAAAAATTTGCACTTTGTGGTCATTATTAACTGTGGATAACTTGGACATAAGCACGTGTTGCCACAACACTCAGTCTGATTGTGCAAATGGCTATTACATCACTAGCGGGCAGGTACTGTATACAGCATGGATATGCCAGATAAAATGATGGGTAAACCTATGTGGGACAGGGTGAAACTTCATCATACCACCCAGAATGGTATACAATCTAAAACATCCAAATTATTAGCTTCTGGAATTTCCCATATGATATTTTCTGACCAGAGCCAACCACAGGAAACCATGGAAAGATGGGGAGGGTACAAGGCAAAGACAAATCTAGAGTCAGCATGGGAGAGGAAGGGCTCTGAGTGACATGAAAACTCCTGAAGGATGGAGGGTAGACGGAGTCAAAGGCTGATACCTAGAAACGTGGTCTGTGTCTAGAGACGGGAGCGTGAGCTGTTTGAGACCAAGGACGATGACACAGCTGTTCAGCAGAAGTCCCTCCAATGGCCTCCCTATCTTATGCCTCCCAGAGCCAAACAACCGTGCAGGTGACAACCTCTTGGGGGAACACAGCTGGCTGGTCACAGATGGTCAGTAGACTGTCAACAGGAAAGGTATGGGGGGGTCATGTCAGAGAACCAGCTCAGAAGAGCCCCAGCCCCTGCTCTCTTTCCTGGAACTAGTAGGCACAGAACGGCTCACACCACCCATCCCACCAGCTCAGTGGCCAACAGTGCTCAGTGCTGCAAATCTGCCTGTGCCCCACAGAGGCCAATGAGAAAGATTGGACCAATCAGAAGACAGACCAAGGAAAGAGAGTGGCTAGTGAGGGAGAAACCAATGAGGGAGCCTGACTAGTGAGGAGGACTAATGAGGAAAATGAACAATTAGGGAGAGAGGCCAAGAGAAGGCACATCAATGCAGGGGAAAGAAGCGGGAGAGGGAGCGAGGAGAGAGGGAGGGAAGACAGACAGACAGACAGAGATGGACAGAGAGCAAGACTCACAATGCAAGACGGACCAATGAAAGCAACGGAGACCCTCTGGGCCCTGCTCGGTGTCCGGCTGTGATTCTGCCTCAAGAATCTCAGGTTCTCTTGCCATGGGGGTGGGGAACCAGTGTCATCTGGAGCAAGATGCAGCTGCCCTCCTTTTCAGGGCCAGGTGTAGGCAGATCATGCCCACCTTACATGAGCAGCAGCTCACCTTGTGAACAGAGTAAAAAGCCATGTGGGTTTCCTGCATCAGACAACTAACTTGGATCTCACCCTGTGGACCAGGCAGGCGTGTGAGTGTGTGTGCGTGCGTGCGTGCGTGCGTGCGTGCGTGCGTGCGTGTGTGTGTGTGTGTGTGTGTGTGTACATGCATGCTTGGCTCCATCTGGCAAAGAGATAATCAGATTCTCCCAGGAGACCAGTGACAAAGAGAAAGAGAAGGAGCCAGCAGCTCCCTGGAAAGCCCATTGTCTGGTGCAGGCCTCGGGTCGGTAGCAAAGGACAGGTCAGGCTGCTAACTGGACTCCACTTAGAACCTAAGAGCTGGAGTGTGAATCTCCAGGACAAACTGTGCTCATTGCTTAGGATCTAACCCCTAGCTCATGGTCAATCTCCTGGTCCTCTCGACTCTCTGTTGTGCATTGCTTTGTTCCAGTCAGACAGAAAGCGGGCGCCCAGCTACTGCACTCACATGGTATATAAACATACATGCAGGCCAGCCACCTATACACACAAAACTCGCTTTTAAAAATCAAAACATGCAAACTTTAACTTCTATTGCAGTGAGTTTGTCTCAGTCTCTCTCCTCTGGAGTTTTTTTCCCTCTATTTTTCTTTCCCAATCCTGTAGGTTGAGAAAACAAAGACATTTGTCCTGTGTAAAGACCTCCCTTCTGGAATAAGCTGACTGCTTCCACCCCATGTCATTTATCATGTCCCTCTGTCTCCACATTCCCTTGGTGTCTTAGTTAGGGTTTCTATTGCTGTGAGGAGACACCATGACCTGGCTACATTTATAAAGAAAGCATTTAATTGGGGCTTAAAGAGGAATATTAAGCTACACCAAGTATACAGGGAAAGGATGTCATATGATACTTTATTAGGGAGAAGTCACTTTCATGAGAAGCCGAGAACCTGAGATCAGTGCTCTACTGGTCTCCAAGACTCAAGCAGAACCCCAAGAGTGCCTGTGTCTCCTTTCCCCCAGCTCTTATCTCCTGTCCCTACTATGTACCTGTGACCATGCCCAAACAGGAGTTGTCAGTGGTACAGGTGTGTAAGATCTCTCCCTACAATTCCCCTTTTAGTCTAAAGAAAAGATTTACACTTAAAACAAAACTAAATTGTGTCAATATACAAAATATCTCAAACAGATATAAAGCATATATACATAGATGATAAGAATATTAATGCATCAAACATCATGAATAGAAACAAGACTTTACACAGTATGATGAATTACGATAAACAAATTATAAATCACCAGGAGATATAATAATCTACCTATCTCATCCTAAGCATATCTATCCCATATAAACCCTAAACTTACCAGAAAGATATGCCCAAGTCTGAACACCTCCTTTCAATCCCAACCTTAAACAATTGAAAACTAACTCAAACAGGTATAAAATATCCTGTAATATCAACAGTAGGGAAAAGGGGGCACAGTAGTCTCAGAATTACTTTCTGCTGAAATGGGACGACAATACTCTCATGTGATCCTGTAGGAAGAAAATGTTAGTGTAGTACAAGTCTCAAATGGACTAGCTACAACATTTGTACTAAGTCTCTGTTTGGCGGGAGATGCTTGATTGAAGTTCTTGTCTGAGGCTCTGGCCAGAGTGTAATAAAAATGTGCACCATATCAGTTAATTATTCTGGAGTTGTCTAGAACAATGTAGTTCTGAACTGGTTTCAGAGTGACAATTGTCAGTTCAGATACATAAAGTTGGATCAGGTGGAATCGATGAAGTGGGACCCCATTTTCTTTCCGGACTGTTCGAAGACTGCTGTTAGGAAATTGTTTGTTCTCTGTGAGAAATGCAAATGTTAATGTCAACAAAGAAATTTCAAATTTATATGTATGCATACTGGGAAAGGCAACAATAAGGAAGATAGTAAATATGAGGGAAATTAGACTTTCAGAGAAAGAACCAAGTATAGACAAATGACAGTCCCTAGATTTTTGTTTTCTTTAGTCTTACATCAATTGGCTTCTTGATATAATATAGAAACTCTGAATTTTATATTAACAACATGCTTGGATTTAGAGGAGGATAGCCATATCCAGCTCCAAAGCCAGTGTTGTTTTAAGTGAATTGAAACTAAAAGAGTATTAAGAAGTAAAGAGAAATAGATTTCATAAGGATATAAGTTGAGAGAATTAGACATTGATATCAAATATTAGATTCTTCTTTGTTTGATGGTTCTTTTGGCTAGCCATCCTCTCTTCTTTAGATATCTATACATGGTCAGTATCTTCTTGCCTTTTGGAGATGGGTTTTCCTGCTAAGACAAGAACAAAACACTTCCCTTTCCTTTTGTGAGGTCTCCTTACACCTTGAGGGATATGACTTTGTGGATGAGCTGTCGTTTTTCTTCCTCCTGAGGTTTCTCCTGTTCAGATCGAATCTTGATCAATTTTGATGGATTCCAAAGCTTTTCTTCTCCTGCGGAAACAAAGGCAAAACCTCTTCGTGAATGTAACACATATCCTGGTTTCCATACCAACATCATTACATCCTTGAAATACACCAGCTGATTTAGTTCAGAAGTTTTTTCTGTAGTCCATTGTCTTTCTACAGCTGTTTGTCCTTTCTTGTTAGCATTAAGAAAGCTTAGTGTTAATAAAGCATTATGCAATCTGTGTTTGGGGTTCTTTGTTCCCCCTGACTGTTTATGAAGCATTTCTTTTAAAGTGTGATTAGATCTCTCAACCACTGCTTGTCCTGTGGGATGGTATACCAGTTATGTGCTTATGTTATAATATTTGAAAAACTGTTCCAATTTTCTGTAGACATATGCTGGAGCATTGTCAGTTTTTATTTGTGCAGGTATACCTGTAATGGCCATCACCTCTAAGAGGTGTGTGATAATGGTATCATCCTTTTCAGAGCTAAGAGCATTAGCCCATTGGAACCCTGAAAATGTGTCTATTGTATGGTGCACATATTTTAAACTTCCAAATTCTGGAAAGTGAAACACATCCATTTGTCAAATTTCAATTCTGTGAATACCTTTGGGATTACTGCCTGCTGGTAATGGTGTTTTATGATAGAATGACCAGGTGGGGCAATTTCTTATTATTTCCTTGTTGCAAATCCTCCTTTAATCCTTTGCTATTAACATGGTGTTTATGAAATTCTGAAGCTTCTAGCACACTTCCTGTTAATAAATGATCAATCTCATCGTTACCTTGTGCTAGAGGACCTGGAAGACCAGTATGGGATCTGATGTGTGTAATATACATATAAGATGAGTTTTATTTCTGATAGTTTCCTGTAATTGTATAAACAATGAGGTTAATTCTGTATCATCAGGAATAAATTCAGTGGTCTCAATGTGTAAAACGACTCTCTTGCATATTGAGAATTAGTAACTATATTGAGAGGCTCTGTAAAATCCATAAGTACTATGAGAATGGTATACAACTCTGCCTTTTGGACAGAGTTGTAAGGGCTTTGAACTACTTTACTTATATTTCCTGATTTATAATCTATCTTTCCTGACTTGTTTGCATCAGTGCAGAATGTAGGGACTCCAGAGATTGGCGTTTTTCTTACAATACGTGGAAGAATCCAAATTGTTTTCTTTACAAATTTGATTCTCTCTGTTTTGGGATAATTGTTACTAAGGGTTCCCAAAAAGTTACTGCAAACCCTTTGCCAATATTCATTATCCTTCCATAAGGAGGAAATTTCTTCATTAGTTAAAGGTACAATAATTTCTGTTGGGTCCCTTCCAGTTAGTTGATGAAGCCTTAACTTACCTTTTAAAACCAAATCAGAGATCTTTTCTATATGTCTTCAGTTTTTATTCTGCTTATGTGGCAGAAATATCCATCCTAATATGATATCTTCCCTTTGCATCAAAATCCCTGAGTGCCATTCTCTAGATGGTAAAAAAGCCAGAATACTGTCTAGTTTTGGATCCACACAGTCCACATGTGCTTCTAGTATTCTCTTTTCTGCCCATTATAATTTTTTCAGCCTCAGCTGATAATATTTGTGAACTATTTAAGTCCTTGTCTCCTTTTAGAGCCATCTTTAGGTGATTTAAATCATGCCCTTATACTAATTGTCTGTAGTTGAGAGATCTCTCCTAGTAGTTTTTGAAGTCATTAAGAGTCTAGTAATGATCTCTCTTGATTTGTACTTATATATTTTAAAAATGCTTTGACTTCAAAATTTAAGTCTAGCCGGGCGTTGGTGGCGCACACCTTTAATCCCAGCACTCGGGAGGCAGAGGCAGGCGGATCTCTGTGAGTTCGAGGCCAGCCTGGTCTACTGAGCGAGTTCCAGGACAGCCTCCAAAACAATACAGAGAAACCCTGTCTCGAAAAACCAAAAAAAAAAAAATTTAAGTCTAAGGGCAGGTTACTTTGGAAAGAGGTTTTCTTTGTGTTTCCACAGAAAATGTAATGATATGGATACCTTCCAGACTAATATGGTTTGATAAAGCAAGACCCCCTGAAACAGTATCCCAGGTGTTCCAACATCTGAAAGAGCTGACAAGATGAAGCCTTATAGACTACAAAATCAAGGACTTACCTAGGTTTCTGTTTTGTCATGATTCCCATGGTATGGACAGTGCCCCCAACCAGCAAGAAGCAGTTTGGAATGAACAATGCCCAAATTCCCAAATATTGTTTATAAATTTTTGTTTTCATTTAAATGGGGTTGGCTATAAATGGTTAATGATTATAATCTCTTTTTAAAGATAAAGGAGGATTATGGTATAGAAATGAATATTTTGTCTTGGAATGGATTTTCATTTATTGATACAAATTTAAGGTCAATTTTGTGATATACATATATATGTATGCATATATATATTTCTCCTCTTGTTTAAGTATTGTGTTTATACTGACATTTTAAAATGTAATGCATAATTAAATACAGATTGTATATAGTCACCTATAACAGTCAGAACTTATAGTTTTGTTAGTTAGGTTTGCTAGATATACAGCAATGTATTTGAGATGGATAGATAGTCTTTAAACCTTTCAAAGACTTTCAGAAAATTGCATTTAAAATGGTTTAGGATTTTTCTTGACAATGAGAAATGTCTGCTCCTGCAGCACCAAGCTACATCAGAAAAGATGGGCATTGAAGAAACTCATTATGGAGTTTACTTTCAATATGGCGAAACTAGTCATTTGGGCAAGAAACTGCTTTTGCCTGGACTGTTTGACTATTGCTTTATAAACTGGACATGTAGGGCCCACATGAAAGTGACTACTGAACTTACAAAACAAGATGGAAAGTCCTGAAGGGTTCCTGCCTCATGGAAGAGTCTGCCAGACATTCTGCAGGACACAGAAAAATGACTGACAAACTGCCAATGCAGGTGGACAGTTTAACATTTCCTGCTTTGCTGAGAAGTCTGCCAGACACACCATGGCCTATGGGCTGAAGATGGATGCCCAATGTTACAGAGGAACTTGGGGTGACTGTCCAGGTAGCGAGATGTCTGTCAATTCTAGTGTTTATTATCCTTCTATTGTCTTCGATGGAGTTGAAGACAGATAGTTATAATTATAGTTTTCCTTAGTTATGATAAAAGATAAGCTACATATAAGACTTTAGACTCACACAGATAGGATAGATAATAAAATACTTTCTTGCCAGGCGTTGGTGGCGCACACCTTTAATCCCAGCACTCAGGAGGCAGAGGCAGGCGGATCTCTGTGAGTTCGAGGCCAGCCTGGTCTACAGAGCAAGTTCCAGGACATCGTCCAAAGCCACAGAGAAACCTTGTCTCGAAAAAACCAAAAAATAAAAAAAAAAATACTTTCTTTAAATCTTACTAGATGTTAATGGACTAAATACTGTAACTATAGTTTTTACTTGGTAACTGTTTGTTATATATTTTACTATGTTAAAGTTAAAACCCTTCTTTTTATTTAGAAAGAAAAGAGGAGATAATGGGGGAAGTCCTTCTGTGTATATGTTGTCTTATTGGCTGATAAATAAAGCACTGTTGGTCAGTAGGGATGCAAAATAGGTGGGACTAGGAGAGGTGGAGGATTCTGGGAAACTTCTTCCAGGCAACAGAAAGTCAACTGAGGCACTGGGCAGTATTCTGAGTATAATAAACCTCAAAGCCCACCCCCATAGTAACACACTTCCTCCAATAAAGCCACACACCCTAATAGTGCCACTCCCTGTGAGATTGTAGGGGAATTACATTCAAACTATCATACTTGGTCAGCACCATGTGACCCCATGTGGCATACCATCTAAAACCACCTCTCAGGAGATAGGGTGTGCTACACATAGGGAAGCTAATAAGGCATCAACCTGATTCGAATCTTTTTTTTTTTTTTGGTTTTTTTTTTTTTACGAGACAGCGTTTCTCTGTATTGTTTTGGAGGCTGTCGGTCCAGCCCAGCCTGGAACTCACAGAGATCCGCCTGCCTCTGCCTCCCGAGTGCTGGGATTAAAGGTGTGCGCCACCACCGCCCTGCATGATTCGAATCTTTTCAAAGCTGACTAATCATGGGGTGAGATCTAGAAGGCAGTCAGAGTTGGGAGGGAGGACTGATGAGGTTGCTCAGTGGCTAGAGCACCTGGTGGTATTTGGATCACAAACCCACAACCAACCACAAAATTCTAGGCGTGTCAACTCATGTCTGTAACCCCAGACTTGGGTGGGCAGAGACAAGAGGTCCCTGACATTTATTAGCCAGCCAGTCTAGCTGAATTGACAAGATTCAGTGAGAAATTCTTGTTTCAAAATGCAGAGGTTGAGGAGGCGCTCATGAGCCCCGCCCTTAACTGAAGAGCTGTTGACAGCTGTGGCTACTGGAGGAGGAGTCAGTTTTCTTTAAGGTGCCTTGTAGGTTGACCATGCTCCAGAGGATGATCCACACACATGAGTATGTGGGAAGTACAATTTAAATTATTAAAGAAAAAAAAAGGACATGTAATTGGA